TCCCTGCCGGGGGGAGCCACCCGCCAGGAACTGCGGCTGCCAGCCTGCGTTCGGAGGAATGAGCTGGGCTCCTGCCACGGGCGGGCTTGGGTGCCGGGGCCGCTGGTGGCTCCGCTCCCCCCGGCCATCCTGGGCGTACTGGAGGGAAGGTGGCAGTGCCGGCCGAGGCACCGAGGCAGTGGGGAGGGGACACAGGCAGGGACAAGGCAGCGAGGAGAGGATGCAGGCAGGGATGGCGGGCAACCCTCTGTCCCTCACAGGCAAACGCTTGCCTGGAGAGCCCTCGCTCCCCCCCCGTGTGGTCAGGCACCCTCTGGAGGCTCTCCAGACCCCCCCAGCGCACCCAGGAAGGCTCTGACTCTGCGGCCCCTCTTCGGTGAAGGCTTATCCCCGCGTGGCTCCCCTGGAGCCAGAGGCCACAGTCTGTCCCAGTGCCAGGTTTCACCCAAGGACCCTCCTCAGATAGGTGTCTTTCCTGCAAGAATTTTTTGCTCTGGGGGAGAAGGTCGTCTGTACAGTAAATTGGGGGTTTGGAGGGGACGGGCTGCGGGCGAGGCCACGGTTTAAGATGCTGCCAGCACAACTCTGCCTTCCCCCCTGTCCCTGCCTGTTTCGGGCACCCCTGGGGTGCTGCCAGCGGTGGAGGCTCTCCCAAAGCTCCTGACCGTGCCTCGAAAAGAAAATAACCCCTTTCTGGAGTGATTTTGGCTGTGTCGAAAGACCTGGATTCAGTGTCTGCATCCAAGACCGACCCTCGGCAGCAGCCGGGGGCACTTGGCTCCTGCCCCCTCCATACTCTTATGCCTCCCGCCGCTGCGGCACGGCTGCCCGAAACGCCTGCACTGGGAGGATTTTGCTGCGGGTGGAGTTTTTGAAGAAAACCTTACAAAGAAGGATTTGCTTTTTGCCAAAAAGTCTTTCCTTGGGGGATGAACCCAATGTTTCTGGCTGAGACACCACCCCCACCCCCCCATAACTTTTAGTTTTCAGCCAAAAACGAACAGGAAGGCAAAATTTTGCAGAGGGGACGAAGGTGTCGGTGTCGATACCGCATCCCCTGCCCTCCCCCGCCCCCGGCAGCCCCCTCCAGCCCCGTCGGAGCCCGGCCCGTGCTGGCAAGCACCTTCACGTGGCTCGCAGAGGCGACGCACGGCCCGAATAACCCGGGTCGCTCTGGGAAGCGCCCGAGACGAATTGGCTTTGCAAAGGGAGGCTGTTTGAGCCG